TGCTTCTTTTACCTAACAATATATTTTGGAAATCTTTCCATAATAAGCACATAAAGCCTTTCTTCTTCTTTCTGACTGCATTGTATTCTCATCTCCTATTGATGGGGGGTGTATTACTGGCAATTATAAACATGAAATGATTCGTTTTATACATTGAACTGTGTGACACTTTCAGGAGAAATTCCTAGAGTTGGAATTATTGATTCTAAAGGTATGTATATAGTTTCAGTTTATATTATGAGAAGCAGAATACCATGGCTAAGAGCAAAGAGCTTTAGACTGCTTAAATCCCAGCTTCTCCATGGGCAAGTCTTTGTGTCTGGTTCCTCATCTGTAAAATGGGAATGGTGATAATAATAGCTAGTACCTTACAGAGTCGTTATAAGAATTAAAAGAGATACTACATGTAATACATGGCAAATGCTCAATAAAGTTATTATTTTGCCAAATTGTCAGAGAGGTTGATTAGAAACAGGAGTAGTGATTCTTTCCCTCTAACAATAAAGTAGAAATTAAGGGAGATTGAACTTAATGGTCTCAGATTTCTTTTTTTTTTTTAAGATTTTATTTTTTTAAGTAACCTCTATACCCAACATGGGCTCAAATTTACAACCCTGAGATCAAGAGTCACATGCTCTGCCAACTGAGCCAGCGGGCACCCCAATGGTCTCAGATTTCTTTTTTTTTTTAAGATTTTATTTATTTATTTGACAGAGAGAGACACAGCGAGAGAGGGAACACAAGCAGGGAGAGTGGGAGAGGGAGAAGCAGGCTTCCCGCGGAGCAGAGAGCCCGATGCGGGGCTTGATCCCAGGACCCTGGGATCATGACCTGAGCCGAAGACAGACATTTAACGACTGAGCCACCCAGGCACCCCTGGTCTCAGATTTCTTAAGTAAAAGGTAATATTATCTGCTAAGCAGGAAAGAGATGGAGTTGAGGATGGGGCTTGATGTTTAGAGTAACTAAGGTGGAAGTAAGGGTCTGGATTTGAGGAGATAAAGGAACTATGAAATTGGGATGTTAGGATGATCATCCCGCATGGACTCTAAAGTCATGCAGGATGATGGTGCGATTGGAGAGGAAGGATGTGAGGTGCCCATATCTTAAATCTTAAATGAAAATGAGCAACAGGAGGTAAGTAATGGCAATAACAAAGGCTTGAAACTGCAAAAGGAGCAAGAATTTGCTCCACCCAAAAGTGGAGAATTGGTGGTCTGGAGGCCTTGGGGAGTGAAGAGAACATCAATTCCATTGCCTAACCTGGACATTAGGGGTCTTTATTCAAGAAAACAGCAGGGGAAGGTCTGTCCTCAGAGAAGGGTCCAGTTTAGGTAAGGCAGGAGGTAGAGAAAATATTCTACAGCTAAGTAAGGAAAACAAAGAAGTCTGTTTGTTTTAGAGAGGGACAATACCAGAGGGCTCCAGGGAAAGGTTTTAGAAAGAAGGAAAGACGCAACTAGAGGAGGGTAGAGTAGAAGAATCATAAAGCAAGATGGGGATGAGCATAAGGATAGAGGGAACCTCAAGCCGATGGTGAACTCACTGTCTTGAAAACTGGTGAAAGCTATGGATCCTCTCTCCAGAAAAATATGTATTTATACAAACATGCAGAATCTGTATGCAATTTCGGTAAGGTCCCAGACTCCACAGACACCCAATTTTTTTAAGTAAACTTTTTATTGAAGTATAGCATGCACACAAATAATTGGTGGTCCAGCTCAAAGTGAATATACCTGTGTTACCAGCACCCAGATCAAGAAACAGAATACTAGGGGCGCCTGGGTGGCTCAGTCGTTAAGCGTCTGCCTTCGGCTCAGGTCATGAGGATCAAGCCCCGCATCAGGCTTTCTGCTCGGCAGGAAGCCTGCTTCTCCCTCTCCCACTCCCCCTGCTTGTGCTCTCTCTCTTGCTGTGTCTTTCTCTGTCAAATGAATAAATAAAATCTTAAAAAAAAAAAAGAAACAGAATACTAGCTGAAGCCTCTCCCCAAAAGCCCCACCCTGAGTCCTCTTTCAGTCACTTAACCATTCGCCAGGGTAATCATCACCTGACTTCTAGAAACATAGTTTAGTTTTATCTGTTACTAAGATCTATATAAATAAAATCATACACTGCATTCTTAGGAGTTTGGTTTCTTCATTCAACCTTATGTTTGTGAGTTTCATCCATGTTGGTGCATGTGGCTGCAGTTCATCCATTGTCATCTCTGTATACTATTCCACTGTATGATGCATGACAACTTATCCATTCAACAACAGATAAATACTTGGGTTTCTTCCTAGTTTGGAATTATTACAAATAGTGCTGCTATGAACGTTTTCGAATGTGCCTTTGGTGAACATATGTACAAATGCTGTTGTTTAAATATCTAAGAATGGAGTTCCCTGGTCATAAATTCAGCTGTAGTAGACAATGGGGCTTATGTTTTAGACAAGGAACAAGGGAAAAAGGAAAACAGTGATTCAAAGGAAGTGGAATTCATATGAACTTTCAGTCTGAATTCTGGTATAAAGTTACACAGGATGTTTTGCATTGATCATTTATCAACATTGAAACCAAATTAAAATAACAGTCATCAAAGACCTGATGAATAAATCCAAAGGGAGATTCTTTAAAAAGATCAATAAAACCTTTCACAAATCAAGAAAAAATAGAAAATGCAAATTTTAAGAAATATTAATTGCCAAAATTGACTCAAGAAGACTCAGAAGAATTGAGGAGACCAACACCTCTGGAAGAAACTGGAAAATTATGTTAAGGAGTCATCTCTCTGAAAAAGGCACTGGAACCTGACACTTTCCACATTACCTTGCTTTAGAACTTCAAATAGGGGCGCCTGGGTGGCTTAGTCGGTTAAGCGGCTGCCTTCAGCTCAGGTCATGATCCCAGGGTCCTGGAATCGAGCCCCACATCAGGCTCCTTGCTCAGCGGAGAGCCTGCTTCTCCCTCTCCCTCTGCCTGCCTGCCGCTCCCCCTGCTTGGGCTCTCTATCTCTCTCTCTGTGTCAAATAAATAAGTAAAATCTTTAAAAATTTTTTTTAAGATTTTATTTATTTATTTACTTGAGAAAGTGAGAATGAGAGAGAGAGAGCACATGAGAGGAGGGAGGGTCAGAGGGAGAAACAGACTCCCTGCTGAGCAGGGAGCCCGATGCGGGACTCGATCCCAGGACTCCAGGATCATGACCCGAGCCGAAGGCAGTTGCCGAACCAACTGAGCCACCCAGGCGCCCATAAATAAAATCTTTTAAAATAATAATAAGAAGAAGAAGAAGAAGAAGAAGAATTTCAAAGAATAGATCACTTCCATGTTATTTAATCTGCTTAAGGACATAGAAAAAGGTTGAAAGTTTCTCCAATAACTTTATAAAATGAGTAAAATCATAATAACAAAACTTGACAATGCATAAGTAGGAAAACCACTCTTCAAAGTACAGACACTGGCAGACCACCCCCAGATATGAGCAGAAATTCCATCTCCCACCTCTGTGAGTCTCACTCAGTGGGTCCTGGATGCCTGTCCAAGGACTCGCCTCTTCTGTGATGACTGACACCAGGAATGTCCACCTCCCTGGGGCTGTGGCTTCACCTAGTGATTTCAAATCATTGATCAATACTGACAGAGCCACTGAAGGTTTCCAGCAGAAGATGAGAACTTTGTCTGTCAGGAAGACCTACTAATAAGAGCTCAGAGAAACCAGGAAGCCCATTTTGGTATAATGATGATAAGCATAAATACTAGATGAGTACTTACTTCCTGCCAGGCACACTTCTACCTGCATGATCTCACTGAGTCGCAACAACCCCAGAGAAGTAGATTCCATTCTTATTTCCATTTTACAGAGGAGGAAACTGAAACTTAATACATGACCATAAACTTAAGTTAATATAAAATGATCATATAACCTAGCAATTCCACTCCCTGGTATACCCCCCCAAAGAACTGAAAACAGGGACTCATAGCAGCACTTTTCACAAGAGCCAAAAGCTGTAAACAACCTGAGTGTCCATCAACTGATGAATGGATCAACAAGAGGCAGTATATCCATATAACGGAATATCATTCAGTCATAAAAGGCTATGGAGTTCTGATACAACATGGATGAACCTCAAAAACATTATGCTAGGTGAAATAAGCCAGACACACAAAAAACAATATTGCAAGATTCCACTTATGTGAGATAGGCATATTCATAGAGACAAAAGTAGATTAGGTGTTGCAAGGAGTGGGAGGGAGGGGGAGATGGGGAGTTATTTCTTAATGTGTAGTTTCTGTTTGGGGTATGAAAAAGTTTTGGAAGTAGATAGTGGTGATGGCCGTACAACATTGTGAGTATATTTAATGCTGAACTGTACACTTAAGATGGTTAAAATGGGGGACTCCTGGCTGGCTCAGTCAGTGGAGCATGTAACTCTTGATCTTGGGGTTGTGAGTTCAAGTCCCATGTTGGGCATAGAGCTTACTTTAAACATTTTTTTTAGTTAAAATGGTTAAAATGGTAAATTTTATGTGTTATATATATGTATATATATTATTTTTATAATATATTATAAAATATATCACATATATTATTATATAATATATAATTATATTATTTAATATTTATACAATTATATTTTGTTATTTGTTATTTTATATTAATTATATTTATATTTATAATATTATTTATTATTAATATTATATATATATATATTTTTTTTAAGTAGATTCCATGCCCAGTGTGGAGCCCAATGTGGGGCTCAAACTTATGACCCTGAGATCAAGACCTGAGCTATGATCAAGAGTCAGAAGCTTAACTGACTGAGCCACACAGGCGCTCCCTTGCAGTCACTATCTTGTGTGACCATATACAAGACTGACCTTCGAAGGCATCGCATTTTTTGGCTGTTAAGTAAGACTGGATAAAATATCTTTGACAGTCCCTGCTGGTTGTAACCCTCCTGACAACATCATCTATTCATGGATTTTTTATTTTATAACGTGGAAAGTCCCAAGCTTTGATTCCTGACCCAGATACCATTTGCTTCTGGTGCACTCTGTGGATATTGATGAATGGGGAGCTCCAGGGAGGGAGGACCAGCTGTCTTCCCCTTACCTAGCCCCCCCTCTTAGGGTTTGTCCTGGAGTTGAGCCAGCCCTTGAGGAGGCCTCCACTCCTTCTTCCTCTCCTGATTCTGGGAGAGGGCTTGGGCCTGGCTGTGCTCCAGGATAAATTTCCACAAGGCAAGAGATAACACTGAGCCAAGGTGAAGATCAGGGCAGCCCTTAAATAAGGCCTCCGTGCACCCTAGAGTTGGTTGCTGTTCTTCTATTCCATAGCTGTCTGCCCTGCTTGCCGGTGCCCAGCCACCATGTGGGAGCTCTTCGCTTTTTTGCTGTTCGCCCTCGTCTATTTCTTATGGCCCAAGCCAAAGTGCCCCAGTGCCAAGTATCCCAAGAGCCTCCCATCCCTGCCCTTGGTGGGCAGCCTGCCATTCCTCCCCAGAGGTGGCCATCCGCACGTGAACTTCTTCAAGCTGCAGAAAAAATACGGCCCCATCTATTCCTTTCGTATGGGTACCAAGACTACAGTGATGGTCGGCCACCACCAGCTGGCCAAGGAGGTGCTTGTCAAGAAGGGCAAGGAATTCTCTGGGCGGCCCCAAGGGGTAAGCAGTGCCCACTATCTCTCCTCTCTCACCAGCCCTGGGGGTTTTGCAGACCATGCCTGGAATGACCCTTCCAGCTCCTGTAATTCTTCCAACCTGTAATTCTTCCTAAAACAGACTAACAGGACCGTGGGTGGGGATCGACCCCTCGGACCCCACCCAGCCTCTAAACTAGGCAGGAAGAATCAAAGGAAGACTTCATTTTCTGGGCTGTCATCTCGCCTGGAACTGGATGGTGTTCTCTCTGAATCTTGACTTCCCTAATTAACTGAGGTAGTATATGCAAAGCACTGAGCCCAGTGCCCAGCGCAGTAAGTACTCCGTAAATAGCCTTTAGGAGTGCTGCTCTTCGTATGGAAAATGGGATTAAAATAACTACTGTCTTCTGTGGGAGAAGGTATGAGGGAGAAGTATCCTGGCTTTTGGAGGGAGGGGGTTGCTGTTTCTCTGGACCTGTCCCCAGCTGCTCTGGCTCACAGTAGGGCTGACACACGGTGGCGTTAAAATGGTAGATTTTATGTGTCATATATATGTATATATATTATTTTTATAATATATTATAAAATATATTACATATATTATTATATGATCTATGCTGCCAAGCCTTCTGTAATGCTCCTAGGGGAGGAAAGAGGCTAACCATCTGCGAATACTGCCAATGCCCCATCCCAGCACCTTGCTGCTGAGTACCCCCTTGGACACCCCAGGCAGGGCCCCCCAGCCACTTATCTCTGATCAGGCCAAGGGCTGATTCATTTTTCCTTGGACAAGTCAGCCAGGTCTGCTGGCCAGCAGCCTCACTCCCAACCTTCCTGAGCAAAGAGGAAGGAGGAGGCTGGTCAGATGGGGCTTGCAGGTCACAGGATGTAAGAGGGGAGGCTTTGAAGCCGGACGCTTTGAAGTCCCTCTGAGAGGAGGTGGAGTGGCCAAGTCCGGATTGCATTCTCCAGATGGGCCTTATGGTGGGCACACACCCTTGCAATAGAAGGCAGAAAGATGAGCAGGGGCTACACCTGCAGCATGCCCCAGAGGGCCCAGGGAAAGGCAGACGTCTGGGCAGTCCTGTATCTACAAGCCCACCTGCTCCTGCCCCCAGGACAGGCACTATTCAGAGAGCTTATCCCATCCACGGCTGCCTTCCCCTGGTCAGAAACTGATAAGAGAGGTCCGGAGGTCACCCTGTCATTGAACTGCCCCCCAGAACTGCATTGTAATTCGGGGTCCCTTTTTTCTCCTCAGTCTGTCTCTCTGATGGAATTAGGAGTAGAGGGGTCTCGGGCCCTGCCCTACCAAGGCCTAGCGGTCACGGCAGAGTAGAGCAGGGGTGTCCCACATGGGCGTCAGCATGGCAAGTAACTGCCTTCTACCGCAGGAAGGGTGCAGGAGGCCCAGGGCAAAGGCAGGTCATTGATGTCTGATTCTTACAGTCTTTCCTGCCCTCCAAAGGTGACTCTGGACATCCTGTCTGACAACCAAAAGGGCATCGCCTTCGCAGACCATGGTGCCAACTGGCAGCTGCATAGGAAGCTGGTACTGGCCACCTTTGCCCTGTTCAAGGATGGCGACCAGAGGCTGGAGAAGATCAGTGAGTGCAGGCCGTCCCCTTCAGCCGCTGGAGGGAGAAGGGGCTGGGGAGGGGGCAATGGAAGGCTCAATCTAGTGCCTTCTTGACTGCTGCTGCCCTCTGGTGGCCATCTGCTCTATGTCCCTGGCTAAGGTGGAACTGGGAAGAAGGGAGGGTGCTACTTAATTCCCCACCGTCTTACCCCTCTCTCCTCCCAGTTTGTCAGGAAAACAGTTTATTGTGTGATTTCCTGGCCACCCAGAATGGACAGTCTATAGATTTGTCCTTGCCCCTCTTCCTGGCGGTGACCAACATAATCTGCTTGATCTGCTTCAACTCCTCCTACAAGAATGGAGATCCTGCTCTGAAGATCATAAAGAATTATAATGACGGCATCTTGGATTCTTTGGGAACGGATAAAATGGTAGACATATTCCCCAGGTTGAAGGTGAGGATGAGGCCAGGCCCCACCTTCAGATTCCAGGGATCCCTGTCCCCAATTCTTCTTACTGCCCAGCTCCAGACCCACTTTTTTCCTGACCACCTCAGCCACAGTGACCTCCACCTCCTCTCATTTTAAAACCACCACTTCTCTACAAAAATAGGTTAAGCTTTTAACTATGCATTTTTAAAATCATGACAATGGCTTTCATTTATTTACCAGTTGCCATATGCTCACTAATAAGCACTCCACATGCATTAATCATGTTATTCCCCTTAAAGGTCAGTTTTATTATCCCCAGACAGATGAGAATACAGGCTTAGAGAAATTAAGGAACTTGCTCCAGGCTTCAGACTCAAGTCTATCTTACTCCTAAGGACTGGGCACACAGCAGAGTTTAATTAGTAGACCTTCCATCAGTGCCTGATGTTTGATTCGATGGGGAAGGGGAGGTGAAGACGATCCGTTTTCCCTTATTTGGAGTTGTCCTAGTTGTCATTAATAATCCCATTCTGCGTCCCCATCTTGCCTTCCATTTTGGCTGAAGGTCTGGGTTAGAGTGGAAACTCTCCAGACACCAAAAGCTAGGATCTGCCTCCAGGAGGGATTCTGGTAGCTGGAGAAACAAAATTGAAGATGGATGGCTTTGACACTTCTTTCTACTTTCCAGATTTTCCCCAACAAAACCGTGGAAAAAATGAAGAACTGTGTTAAAATGCGAGATGAATTACTGAATGAAATCCTTGAAAAACATAAGGTAGGTGATGGAGCAGAGGAGACCATGAGTTAGGTTGAAGTGTCACGAAAACAGGGCTGGAGTCCATTTTGGACACTGGAGTATCTCTAGCACCTAGCAGAGAGCCTGGAACACAGTAGGGGTTCAACAAAAAATGACTTAACCAATGAATAGGGGTGAGGAAGTAAGGAATTGCAGAGGATCAGAGAAGGGACCCACTCACTCCCAAAATTTAGAGAGAGCCCTCCTACCTCCACAAGCTCGTAGGTCCTGCCTAGTCTCTCCCCAGTCCCTCGTGTCCAAATGGAAGAAGCCTTTGTATCCCCAGGCTGGGATGGAAGTATGGAAGGGTTTTGCAGATGGGGCTCCTTCCTTATCACTGTCTCCCAACCTCACCCAACCAGGAGAACTTCAGCAGCGACTCTATCACCAACCTGCTGGACATACTGATCCAAGCCAGGATGAACTCAGACAATAACAATGCTGCCTCAGACCGGGATTCGAAACTCCTTTCAGATAAACATATTCTCACTACCATAGGGGATATTTTTGGGGCCGGCGTAGAGACCACCACGTCTGTGGTGAAGTGGACTGTGGCCTTCCTGCTACACAATCCTCAGGTGGGCTTCTCCCTACTCTGGTCTTCCCAACCACTCTTCACCCCAGCCAGATCCACCTATGGCCCCAGAAAGAGGTAGACGTAATGTCCTCTGACCTTCCATGCAAGGTGACTGGGCTGCCCCACTCCTAACCCAAGCAGTAGCTGGCTTTGGCCCTAGGGTGGAGCTGCCCCATCTTGTGGAAACAAAGCCACCACTGGGAAGAGTCTGAGCCAGCTCTCCTGGATGTAACAATGGGATTCTTCTAAGCCCGTGCTTCTCCTGGGCTTAAGCATGTTGGTCACATCTACCCCGCTCTGGCCCTCAGTTGCAGAAGAAGATCCAGGAGGAGATTGACCAGAATGTGGGTTTCAGCCGCACACCAACTATGAGTGACCGGAACCAACTCATCTTGCTAGAGGCCACCATCAGAGAGGTGCTTCGCATCCGGCCTGTGGCCCCTACACTCATCCCCCACAAGGCTATCATTGACTCCAGGTATGCCTTCCCTCCCAACAACACAACACTGCTTTCCAGTCCACCTGGTGCCTCCTCTACCGCCCCACCCCTCCGCTTGCTGGTCAATTTATACTCAACCATTGACCATCAATTGTCCTATCCATGCCCTACTGATCAATATATCTGCCACCCACTAACACCCACTGACTAATCCACAGATCTAACTGACCTGCCTCAGAAACTGCCTGCTACTCTGGAGACATGTGATCTGGAATGATAGACCAGGTGCTCTATGCTCCTACCCAATCCAATAGCCACCACACACACACACACACACACATATGCGCACTCACCAGCTCAAAATGCATACCCACATGCCCTGACAGACATGAATGTCCATGTACATAAGTATTGATACAGAAGAGCTAGTGAGGAAGAGGTCTGCAGAAGAGCTGGGTTCATATTTGATCTGGCAGAAGCTGAGGAAAAGATGAGGGAGTGGGCATGAGGACGTATAGGGCTTTTCCCCCCAGGGCGGGGGACTGTGGAGGCGTGGGGCTGAGCAGTTTGGGGAGGACAATATTTTAGACTCCCCTTTCCTCTCCCTCTTTGGGGCAGCATTGGTGAATTTGCCATTGACAAGGGCACAAATGTTATCATCAATTTGTGGGCACTGCATCACAATGAGAAGGAGTGGCACCGGCCTGACCAGTTCATGCCAGGTGAGTCCCTGTTCTGTCCTGCTCCCAAGCCACAGAGACAGCCTAGCCTCTGTGCTCCAGCATTCCAGCCCTGTGTTCCTTCTGCTAAGCTTTCTACTGGAAAACTCCTGGCTCCAACTACATGAACCTGTTGATAGCCCCATTCTACCCTAGATTTACCCAAACTCGTCACAGCCAGGTTTCTCACTTTCTCCTTCCACCAGCTGCAAATGTCCTCTAAGAAGCCCTCTAGGTATATGGCTCCCATGAAGTCAGTCCCTCGCCCCCTCGATGGTGGCATTTTCAGTCATCAGTACTGCCTCCTTTCCATCCTTCCTGAATATTGCATTTCTTCTGTGTGAGTAAGGGCTACCCAAGAGCTGGGCTCTATCTCTCCTCAGGCTAGGGTTCCCCCGTGTAAGGTTGTCCACCTCCTCAGACTGGGGATCCCTGGGCAAGGCCACGTCTCCCCCTTGGGCAGGGCAGAGCCATTCCTCTCCTTACTCCTGTCCTGGCCCTGGCTGACACCTCCCCGTGTCCGCAGAGCGCTTCTTGGACCCCACGAGGAGTCAGCTCATCTCTCCGTCACTAAGTTACTTGCCCTTCGGAGCAGGACCCCGCTCTTGCCTAGGTGAGATCCTGGCCCGCCAGGAGCTCTTCCTCGTCATGGCCTGGTTGCTGCAGAGGTTTGACCTGGAGATCCCAGATGATGGGCAGCTGCCTTCCCTGGAGGGGAACCCCAAGATGGTCTTTTTGATCAAGCCTTTCAAAGTGAAGATCAAGGTGCGCCAGGCCTGGAGGGAGGCCCAGGCTGACAGTAGCACCTAGAGGCTCACCTAGCATCCCCTGAAACCACCCTGTGTGGTCCCACAGCACAGAATTAGAGCTGTAACTGCCCTCCCCGGGCCTTCCCTCCTTCCTCCTGGCCCACGCTGCCTTCTTTCCAGCCTGCCGTCCCTGGTAGTGATATGCATAAACAAAACAGCTTTTCTTCCTGGTCCCTGAGCAGTTCACTCATTTGTTCATTTGTTCACTCATTCTTCGCAACAAGTATTTATTGAGCACCTGCTATGTGCCACTCCCTGTCCCTGGACACTCAAGCTTACATTCTAGTGAGGACTGACAAATAAACATTGCAGAGACACCTAAGTGCTTCGAAGTCAATTTTACTAGGTGTTGGTGAGGAGAGAATGGTGGAAGTGGAGGCTGGCCACTACAAGCGAGGGGTAGGGAAGGTGTAAACATGTGGGGGAAAGCATCCCATGACGAAGGAGGGGCAGGCAGGAAGTTCTTGAGGGGGAAGAGGTTGGTGTAGCAAGAGCAGAGTAAATGAGGAGCTCCGAGCTCCTGCTGGGGTCAGATTGGAGACAGGGGCCAGGCCCCACAGAGCCTCTGCAAGTAGCAGGAAGGGGTTTAGCTGTTTATTCCTAGTATGATAGGAAGTCACTGGGCAGTGGGGTGGGGGTGGGGGGGGAGGTAAACGTGTAAGTGGGAAGGGTTTGGTTGGATTTTTTTTTTTTTTTTTTTGGGGGGGGGGGGGGGGGGGGGAGGAGGAGAGAGACAGAGAGAGAGAGAGGACACACATGGAAGAGCAGAGGGAGAGGGAGAGAGAAAATCTTGAGAAGTCTCCACACCCAGCGTGGAGCCCCAACTTGGGGCTCGATCTCACAACCCTGAGATCATGACCTGAGTCAAAATCAAGGGTCAAATGTTTAACCAACTGAGCCACCCAGGCACCCCTGGTTTGTATTTTTAAGACCGCCCTAGTTGCTGAGTGGAGATTGGTCTGAGAGGGATGAGAGCTGGGGCAGGGAGGAGGTGGTTGTGCTGGTCCAGGAGAGCGAGGTCATGGTGGCTCAGCCCCCGGCCATAGCGGTGGAGATGGTGAGAAAGGCTGGGATTATTTCTGTTTTGAAAATGGAGCAGATCTTAAAAAAAAAAAAAAAAAAAGAAAAGAAAAGAAAAGAAAGTGGAGCAGATCTTGTTTGATCCAATCAGGTATCGCTGCGCATACCTGGAGGGTTTGGCTTTGGGGGAGTGTGTGTAATCCACAAACTCAAGCCACCACCACTTATCCCTCTGTCTTGGTCTGCAAAGACCAGCAGGTCTCCTTTCACTTGTCCCGTCCTGGGGTGGACACTGCCAGGAGAGGGGTTCTGCAGCACCCAGCTCTGCCCAGCTCCCCACGCCACAACCCCAGGAAGCCTGTAAATGCCTCACTAGAAAATGGCTCCCAGACTTCTGCAAACCTTGGAACCAGCATCCAAACCTTGGCTACTGGCCAGTTAGCAAGCGAAAGACGTCCTGAGACGCCCCGGGGAGAAAATGACCCTTGCCCATTAGCCTAGAGAGAGGCTCCAACGCCAGCTCCCTGGCGCCAGCTGAGCCAGGGTTGAATCATCCACCCAGAAGAGTCCTTCTCTTCTGACTGAAGGAGGGCTCTGGAAGGGCCAGCGGGGCAAGGCTGAGACCCTGTCTGGCCATGTTTTCAGAAGAAATCAACAGAGGGAGGGACAAAGTTTTCCATTACAGCACACCTTCTTCCCTCAAAGAGCTTTGTTAATCCAGTGGCAAGAGACTATTCCTTACTGTCCCCCCAACTCAGCCCTGGCCTTTACTGGACAGTAACCCCAGGGTCTTGCTAAAGAGCCCAAGGAAGAGTTTGTGGGCAGCCTGGTGAAATGCTGACAACCACTATGGGCCAATGGGAAAGGGTTTAACTGGAGGTGGCCCCTCCCTCTCCAAGGTTCCTCTGCCCCCATCAGCTGGTCGCTGGTCTAGAGCCAAGCCACCCTCAGTTTAAAACAGAGGGGAGCAGATTGGCTGGAGGAGAGTTAAGTATTCTCCTCTCTAACTATTGAATCAGATCATAGAGTGGCAGGGAAATGAGAGACTAATCCTGCATTTTGAAGATGACAAAACTGAGGGCCAGCTGAGGCAAGGGCAGGGGAGGTAACTTACCCTAAGTCACACAGCTCCTGAGCATCAGGGCTGGGACTAGAACCCAAGATTTCAATGATGCAGGAAGAGGAGCCAGACATGCATTCTCACCCATCCGGTGTCCGTGCAGAAGGGCTCTGAGGTGTCTGGCCTGGGAGAGTACAAAGCTTAATATCCTTTCAGAAAATGACCTCATGAACCCCGACTCCTGCCCAAACCGCCCTTCCCCTGCCTGGAAGGCCTTTTCTCACTGACCTAACTCCTCCCATCCTGAGTCTCAGAGTGCAAGCCATATTCTAGGGCATATCTCATGACCCCCATAACAATGTGCTTGTACTCTTTTAGCACTTAGCTTCTGTTCCTTGGTACTGAACCCCACGTGCACCTGAGCAGCTGCCTGGGCTCAAAATGGGTGCAGTGTCCCCCAAAGGCACTGCCCACCCCTATGTCTCTGGAATTCAAGACTGAACCTTCTCATGTTACTTATCTTGCTCATCAGCACCTGACAAGTAGGTTAGACACACAAAAGGACTGAATCCAATGCTCTAAATCCCTTGGCTAATTGGTCCAGTGATAAACAGACTATCTCCTTCTGCAGAAGGAAGCCCAGATTTTTGACAAAGCTGGAAGGTGTTTGCCAAAACCCCACAGTCACATTTTGAGCCTCAGAATGCCCTAAGCCAGTGATATGATAGTAAATAAACACTAAACAACCAGTTTTCTGGTGCTGCTGGGGAAGAGCCATGATTCATAGTGTTTGCCAGTTGCCATGATGTAAACAGTCCCCACTCTGAGTGACTTCAGGCCACCCATGTGACATCACAGATTACAGAGTTGGGAAGAGATGCTCGGTAGCATTAGATGCTATTTACCATTATGTTATATAATAAATAGCATTACTATATAATACCATTACTAATAATACCATTATTCCCACCATACAAAGATGTAAATAACCTCAAGGGCACAGATAATAGTAACATAGTAAAATAATTAGGAAATGATTAGTTTTGAGTATTTATTACCTTTGTTTCTATTATAATGTATTCAATTGTGGGTTTATATAGTTCACTTTTTTTAATGGTTATTTAATAGACAGCTCATAAAATTCCTGAACATTTAGGTAAGTATTTATTTATTTATTTGTTTGTTTTTTTTATTTTATTTTAAGTAGGCTCCACACCCAAGGTGGGGCTTGAACTCACGGGCCCGGAGATCGAGAGTCACATGCTCTACCAACTGGGCCAACCAGGTGCCCCCAAATTCCTGAAAATTTAATAATCAGCTTTTGTGAACCAAAACAGCTGGCCCTCCCAGGAGAAATGGGCTGTCCTTGTCCTTCAGAAGGGCAGCTCCCCAGAGTCCCCATCCTGAGGGGAGGGACCCTTCCCTGGCACCCTAGGTGTGGAGTGTGGGTGGATGAGAGTGAGTAACTGTTCTGGCGCCTCTGGTGGCCATAAAACCTGAAGCAAAAGGGGAACTCTTTCTCCAGTCACACTCCTGGGTTTCAACCTCCATCCCTGGAGGGCAGGAGTCCAATCACAGAGGCGAGAGAGTCCGGGAGGACTGGATGAGGAGGATCCAGGTTCTGGGCCCCTGGCCCCCCACCCCCTAGGTTCCAGGCCCTGGATCTTAGGCCCATTGCTAGCTTCTTGAACCAGTTTTCTCATTTGTACAGGGGGGTAACTTTAACTTACCACCTGTGCCGCCCATTATCTGAGGCTTGGGGGAGGGGGAAAAGCAGAAAGGGCCAGGTAAGCAGGGGAGCTAGAGAAGATAAGAGGTCAGGCTGTGCCGGCAAATTGTCCCCGTGTTGTCATTTACAGACCCAGTGACCGTGGGCAACTTACTTGGCCTTCTTAAACCTCAGTTTGCTCAACTGTAATACGGGTGGCTGAGGCATGCGTAGAAACAGTACCACCAGCCTCACAATGTTGCTGAAGGTCAGGTAGGGACCTACATAACGCATTGAGTGCCTTGATAAATACTGGCTTTGCTGCCATTGCCTACAGCCAGATCCACATGAGTCCTTCTCTAAGGACGAAGAAGCAGGTATTGCTCAGACAGGTCTATCTGAAGGACAGGACCTCCGGGAACCGGCCTGAGTAGCCCCTGATGATCCCACCACCGGCCGCCCCACCCTCCTTCCCCAGCTGGGGCATGCTGGCAGCTGGGACGTGGGTGGAGAGCCCAGAGACAAACTTCTCACAGTTCCAACACGGAGGGAGTTTTGTAACATTTTCCAGCGGGATTGGGTTTCCTGAGACTTCTGGGTAAGAAGACATGCAATGGAAGGTTACACTGGCGGGGAACGGGCTTAGAGTGAGGAGAAACTTCAGATCAAACCAAATCCTCCTCCCCTCCAAGCCACCCGGAAGTTCTAACTCCTGAGAGTTGTACAGTGTTTCCTGGGGGACTCACCCTCCCTGAGGAAGTTAGCATTGACCTGTACCACCTATCCCAAGGGTGAGGCTATTTCAGAGCTGAGGGGCTCAGGCAGGGGTGCCTGGCTCAGTGCGGGGGGCCTCTGGAGGCTTCTGATGAGGCAAGGGGGAACACGCAAGGGGGACAAAGAAGCTCCTGAGGAAACTGTCTGGCTCACCTTTCACTATGCTACTTGCCTGCTCATTACCTTGCTCTGGTTCTCTCTCACCTTTGAAAAGAAATCAAAACTTCTTCACGTGGCTTGTGAGCACCGAGTCTTCAGTGTTCGGGGTTCAAATCCTGGCTCTACCACTTATGAGCTGTGTGATCTTGGACAAGTTAGTCAACTTCTCTGAATGCTTCAACCCCTTTAACAAAGCAGTCCATACCTCAGATGGCTGTTTTGAGGCTAAAATGAAAAAAATGTCGGTAAGATGCTTACACACGACCCAATAACGTGCAGTCAATAAATAGAACGATAAAGACAAATTAAAATATTTTTATTACCAGCCTACCACTCCGATTCATCTCCTGTCACTTCCCAGAATGAAATTATCTACAGAGATTAAATTGCTAGCAGCTTTAGACATTTCGGCCTCCTGTGTTTTGTGGGCTTTTCAGCACCTGGC